GCCACAAATCCAAACACTACAAACCTGAGCTCATTTATTACTTCTGCAAACAATTTGATGGACTGATCTTACCAGATTTTCTACATAACTTGTATTTTCAACGAATAACACAGCAGATGTAAAGAAGATTTCTAATGAACCGGGCGCTTTTTAACGATGACTGATACAAATTGACTTCCTATTTCCATGTCCTGAAGCATACAGCATTTCATCTGATCTCGAAACATCGTCGCGCTGATCTCCTTAGAAAACCCAAAAGCCGATCGTGTTCGACCTGATGCTGCTCTCACGATATTCTACAACATTTGTTAAATACATTCAAGAAGCTAAATAACAAATGCAATAACATCATGGAAAGAAATGCATCGCTCGCTGGCTTTCGCACAGTAAGTAAGAGCGGCACCGTTTCACGAGTGGTGCTGCTTGGACCATGCCAGGTTCGCCACGTTCGACCAATATTTACTTTGTAGTCTACAAAATATTTCCTAAAACACCGAAACAAACCGATCAACACGACTGCGTAGAACTTACCTAACAAGCGCTCCACTTACCACCTCGTTCATGATAGCATGCAAGCGTTTCTCTCCTTTTAGTCCAGTACAGCGAGAATCTTCAATGTTTCAGATGGCATGATTAGCCGGGCATCGGTCACCCACAGCAAATGCATATCTTCAAACCTGAGACATACATATGCTACGGGTAGCCTAAACCACTGGCATAGGAAATCGGTCCGAGCGTTGCTGAAACCGCCTGCGACCCAATGACACTGTGATACTGGAAGACATAGTATAACAGCTACATCGGGTTGCAGGAAGCTCAGCAAACAGAGGAGGAATTCGGGGCAGAGCAACGGGATGTCCCTGCAGGTCGTACATCATGTGCAATGATCAGACAACACACTGCACAACGAGCACGCCCGCAGGGTCAGGGAGACGCTCGGCACTGCCACCCACGCCGAGTAACAGTCTAGTCATGTGCCGCAGCCAGGACCAGCCAGTCACCCGGGGTTAGTGAGCAGGACCAACCCCGAAAATAGGACGCTGCAGATACCAGCAGACGCGATTACAGGCGAGACAATAGACATGTACAGACACGTCAAGTAACGACAGAGCCAAATATTGAACTTGTCTTCTGCCAGCACCTTTTATAACGATCACGAGTGGGCGGGGCCACAGTTCCCGCCTGCTGGCGGCGATCCTCGGGCCACGCTTGATTAGCCGGTGAAAATGACCACAGGTAATCGGTACGGCGATTTCTCGGTATTACTTGACTGAAGTGATAACACTAACAATCAAATGTCACAGGAAAACTAGTTGTCAACCCCGAAGAGCATTTCACGCAACAATTGATTGTGCGTAGATCCCTGTTGTGATCTACAACGCTGCGGGCTATCGATCGACTCCAAGCGAGCTGAACAAACGGAAATATTCGAACCAAATGTGGCTGAACGTAAAATATCGGTTACTACATCGGTTGAAGAGGTTGGATAGACGGTAGAAAGATTATCCATTAAGTTGCAAGATATTAAAACACTTAATTTGCAAAATGAGGTAGGGATTGTTCAAATTCGATTCAGAATTGGCTCACAGTGACCACAAAAATTTGCTCAGCAATATGTCCCTTCCTTAAATCATTTTTCCAACTGTTCATACATATTCAGATCCAAACTGCTTTCAGAATAACGGGTTCTCTACTATCTAAACATCTTAAGACGTACTGATTTTTGATTTTAGTAGGAATCGGGATGAACGTTACTACAAAATGAGCGATGCTCTCAGCTTTCAAAGATTTCTCATATCGCCAACAAATTGTCCAAAGTAAAGAGCAACTTTTAATACCCTATAAACCCGAACTGTGGAATTATCTTGGAGGAAAGATGTCCAATATTTTTGTTCTTTTATTCTATTTTATATTTTTATTTATTTTTTATTTATTTTATTTTTTTTATTTTTTTGTTGAAATACGAGGTGGCTACGAAAATAGCTGAAATTGCTGATATCAAACCATCACAAAGCAGGAATTCAAATGTTGTCAAGTAATGATAGTGCCTCCAAACTACCTAGGGAACCAAAAAATAATATAACTGAGGAAGAATAAAATTGACGACTTCCGTTCTTCAAAAATCGCAGTGTTTGCTAACGCTCAGGCAATAAAATAAAATTTGTAGAGCATCCATCTGTCACCTAACATTATGTACTTCCACTAATCAGTCGAGATGCAGAGCCATCTTTATCTTTAGCAATTTCAGACTACGACAAAATGTTCTTATAATAGACGCATGAACTTCAATAAAATGCGGAATGCGTAGATTCAACAGGTAACAGTACCGGATCAAATTGACGACATTCTTGATCTTATACACAGGTAAGCTTACCGTTCCTGTCTAGTGGTTTGGGAAAGTCTTGTGTTAGCCGTGTTGCATTATTCTACCATTGATGATTTGTATCTCAGTATCCTGACATCGAATGATTTACGGAAGCGAATTTTCCATCACTTATGGCGAGCGAATAGTTTCTGTTATTTTGTAGTTTATAACTGGAAACTGTTCCTACGACGTATATCTTCCTCGAGCAGGTCCTTCAAGTGAAGAAAAATCGGACTGGATAAGAAAAAAAATAATTCCCACGATTTCTACCACACTAAGAATTTCGGCATTTGGTTTCTACCAAAGAAATCAGCCAAACTTGAGAAGCAGAGCATATGTGGATCTGGTGTTCGGAAAGCAATATCATCACCCATGATTGCCCTTGTCACTTGTTGACGGTAACCACAATAATGGTCTGATATGACCTCATCTTGAGAACGTGTGCCAGAGGGAACAGCCATGGGCAACACTCATTCATTCATTGCACCTAATTATGCCAATGGCGTAGCCTTTATGAGCGGTAGCATCTGCTGCCAATGGCGTAGCCTTTATGAGCGGTAGCATCTGCCATCTGAGATACTTCATTCAGGTACACTGGAGTAACTTGATACCCTTCTTTGCCAGACAAGTAGAACTAGGTTGGAAACGTCCAAACGAAAGCAAAAAACCATGACAGAAGCTTATCAGAACTTACTCAAGACTTAACTAATGTCGTTTTTTTCTGCACAACGTCCAGCATCCTCCCATTCTGGAAAGAATGGAAAAAGCCTCAGTTCATTCAATTAATTTTGTTATAATATTACGATATGTAAAAAAAGGAGGCTCAGTGGATAGATGCGCCCTGTTGCAGTAAGACGGGAACCGACCCAGTCATGCAACTTTTCATCGAACTCACAATCACGGACACAGGCCATACCAATTCAAAGATTATTAAACAATAAAAACCATACAACTTTAAAATCAACGATTTATAAATACCCGTAATATGTAGAATAGAACTACAAAACATGACTAATTTAAGAAATATCAATAATAGCAATACATAAAACTAGAATTGAAAAATGAGTAAAGCCGTAACCCGGTCTATGGAGCAAAAAATATGCACTGAAGCATAATATCAAATGAAAATAACTGAATACATATCATATCACTGAAGAAAGAGGTATATTAATGTGTCACCAATGGTAAAGTCGACAACCGGGAAGAGATTTCAAAACGGGCAAGCATTTAAAAGCCGTACGTTGCACTAGAAAATAATTAGACAGAAATAATGCCTGGACTACCTCCAGTGTAGACCCGTCATTTAAATTGTGAGGCGAAGGAAAAAGAATATAGACCAGGAAAAAAGTCTGAAAACCAAATGAGGGATATTAATTGTGTTCAAAATTATACCTTGCTAATGTGTTTCCAATTATGACTCAAATTGACCATGTATCCCGAAAACATGATGAGAATAAGGCAAGCACATATTTTGGTAGATATGATTGAAAGAATCAAAAATTCTGAGAACCTGCTCACAAACCCTCTTTTCGAGGCGCAATAGAGCCAATGTGGACTGAGGACTGCATTAATTCGAGCAACTCAGGAATCATATGAGCCGTCTTGTTCAGCGGGTACGTGTTAGCCAGACAGAGTGCGTGATCACGTACGTCTCCCCATCCGCCATTTTCCTTCGAAGGCTTCGGAGACCGTAAGGATACCTGTAAACCATATAGCATGTAATTCCTCCACGGCTTTGGTCATGGTACTTTGAGTAATGTGTGCACGCATTTTCAGTTGGATAACCTCAATACGTTCGATATAAGATGGAAAGCGGAGCGGGAGCATAGCTATACAAAAATTGGTGAATGTGTCTCAATTTTGGAACAGCATTTTCCAGCGTAGCAGCGAAAAAGGTAATTTTAGGTACTAGCAGAAAAGGTTGCAAGGTGATTAGAGATAAGAAGTTGGGAAAAAGATCCACAGGAGGCCCACACAATCCACACTTACCCACCCTTCACCCACCCTTCACCCGTTTTGCTGCCAATCACAAACCTCAAATCACGCCTGATAACTACACGCGTTGGTAACACCATGAAGCGATACGGGTATGGTGATAGAAGCATAGCTCTGCCAATGAATCCGCGTATGTCGTAAAACGAAGAAAAAACTGGACCAACACAAGAACTTGCGTGCTCGACTTCTCCCTTGAAGATGACACTTTTTGTAAGTACATGCTCTATAAATGCGCAAACGGAACCAAGGTAAGTTCAAAGAGGTTATAAACAAACAACAGAAAATAGTTACATCGGTGACTGTGAGTCGCATTGGGAAGAAGGACTTTGCATGATTCTCCAGCAGGGCACGCGTTGATGTATAGGTGTCATGAGCACTGCACCTGCAAGATGTAAAAAAATTCCATGTATGCTATACGAAGTTATTACGAAACAGAAAAACATATCAGTTGAAACGTCACCTGTGTGTGTGAAGACCGCAGTCTCCTATATGAATGACCCTCGGGCTTTTTGTGAATATTACTCGGAAACGCTTTGGAAGGCGCATAAAACGGGTACTGCAACCATAAGTAAAAAATCTCTAAAATTTCACGCAATGTTTTAGTGTGATATACAATCTAATAGTATACTGCATCATTGACTCAGTCCAGTTGTAGTCGCATACTACAAAAGAGCTGAAAAACCGAAATAAGATAAAAAATAAACAAAGTGGAGCTCTAAAACGCTTCATCTGAAAGCACCCAACGGCAACGGAACATTCTAGCTATACACCAGAAAGTCTCTTTCAAATCAAAGATTCAATTGGTATTTGATGATGGATTGATGATGTTGATATGAAGAGCAGAAGAAATGAAAGAATCGTAAGGTAATTGTAAGAAGGATTAAAAACTACTCTATACGTAATTTGCTAATCTTTCATTTCCTATCTCCTTCCCTACCCACTCAACAGTGAGAAGTGAGGTAAAGCTGCATGAACATGTGAAGGTGTTGAAAACAGTAAATAGTCCATAATCCAAAATATTTTACAAAGGAATTCACTCACTTCAGCACAGGCTTTCACTTTCATCCAACTTTCTCGTCGAAATGCCATTCCCATATTATGCTTGGAGCTATACCACGGATGGGCTCCAAGCTTCGCAATATTTTGTGCATAAGATGTGAATGATTTGAGGTAGGAACCCAATGAGATGATTTCACACGTATCGCAGTACCTAGAATAATAATTACTGCTATATGCTCATTCGACAAGAATCTCAATTTTACATCGACCCACTAAGACACAAATAATGTTCAATAATGAATATTGCGGATTACTATTACAAAACGTACTTCTTTCTGTTCTGTATAATATTGTGTAGAACATGTAACGCATCTGGAACAACGTAATGATCCTCTTCAAGCAGCAGTACCCATGCATCAGTAAGACCGTATCGATCAAATACTCCATCGAAGACGTAATTCATCTAAATCATTACACACATGAAGCCTGTAATGCAGAAGGATTTCATGTCTAAAAATTCGAAAGAAAAACCGGCACAAAACTTGTCAGAAATCGAGGATGAGTGGGATGACTAATTCAGAAGAACAGAAACGAACATGGCATTAACTTCGATTCTCGAAAAAAAAACCTGTAAACTTTCACAGGCTATATTCGAGAGTTTTTAGGCGCATGCAAAGGGAAAAATGGGAGGTTTGGTTTCAAACGGACGGGAAAGTCATTGAAGCAAGCATCTTCGCCAGGATATCCACTGTTAGCTCTCCAGTGAACTCCACTTCAGTTTTTAGTCTTGCAATGAGTGAGAGAGTATCACATTCAGAGAACAAAAATAACCTTTAAATCTGTATAACAAAACACATCAAATGTTAATCACATTCTTAATCAGTACACTCGACAAACTATGCAGAACCTTTCTA